AAAAAAAAAAAAAAAAAAAAGAAAGAATCTTGTAGCTAAACCCTGGAAAGCAGGCCAGCGAGCTGTCCTACCAGGCACAGCCTTCCAGGTCAGAACAAAGACCACAGGTCACAGAAGATTCCCTTTTACCTGCTTCAGTTTCTGAAAGGGTGGTGAAGACACTCAGATGCCAGCACATATCCATGAGCCAGAGCCGGAAACCAGGGCAGTGAATCAGATCTTAGTGACTATGCTCTACTCCTGCAGAAATGGGACTTTTGGGCCAAAGTGAAGCGGGTTAATCTCTGGGCTAAGTGGTCTTTGGCCCTAGCCTGGATAGCATTGCTCACATTTGGGGGTACAGGGACTCTGCAGAAGAGCACTGGCACTGTAGTGGCAGTTCTTCTCTTATCTGTGTCCTGCCTGTGCAGTGTATGTGACCACATCACAAGTTAAAGACATCACTCAGGTTATCCAAGCAGGTAGTTTTTGCCCCTTTTTGCTCTTAAAACTTTCTGAATTAGAGCTTTTCTGACTTTAGTGATAGTGTCAGATGGGAAATCTTTCTGATGCACACTTCATGGCAATGCCAAGAAACAGGACATACATGAGTAACAAGGAGCTTAGAAAATACTTCAAGGGAGGAGAAGGTGCACAGGAGACTTGCAACCCTGGGTCTTCATCTGTTTGAAGCTAACACATTTTGTGTTTCTAGGTTCAAAAAGATTCTTCAATTGAATATGCTGACAAGATAGAAGAAGCATGCAGAGCCCTGCCCCTCCCCAAGAGGGCAAAAGAGGTAATGGATCATTTTAGAGAAAAAAGTGCCAACCACCTTAAACTCAAGTCCAGAACCCCTCAAATTCCTAGAGAAAGGTGAGTTGTCACACAAGACAAACACTTGTGGCCCCACAGCCCCTGAGATGGAAATGACACACATACTAGATGCTTTGATTGTCAGTTATGCAAGAGGTGGGAAGGAGTCATCCCCTTCAGATTTAGGACCAAATAGAGAAAACTACCAGATTCACACTTGCCTGTATTTGAATGAACAGAAAGACTTCAAGGATGAACTTTAAAGTGCCAAAAAATAATGTGTGCTACAAGGTACCCAGTAAACCAGTGATGCCCTAGAAGAGTGTCATCTTGCCAGTCTTAGGAGTGTGACCTCTACTATGGACAAGATGGAATTTACACAACTCTAGAAAAGATGATTTTGGAATGGTGCAGGGCATTTGATAACTTTAGCTCTGTATCACCTGTTCTCATCTTCTTGGGTCAGTGGGCTCCCTGCTGGTAACACCTGCATTGGCACGGCTTCTGTTCTCCAGCTGGGCAACCTGTCTTCTTTCTCCTCTTTGCCTAGAAGCAACATCTCTTGGCTATTAAATATACATTTGCAGCAAAAAAGCAAGGCCCTCCAAGCAGTTATAATCACATGCTCCCTTAATAAGTCAACTAAGACGTATAAGGGTGGACCCTAATCTAGGTGTTGTCTGGCTGGGGAAATGTCTAGAAGAAGGCAGTCTGATTCACTGGATAAAACAGACACGCCAGAGCAAGGCGGCGGCACCCGAGAGCATCATCTTTACTAGATTTACAGATCTAGCAGAGCTAATGCTTCTACGATGCCAAGGCAACAAAGGCTGCAGTTTAGTTACCTCTCTAACAGCAGTTTATACTTTTAAAAAATCAAATTAGGGCAGCTTAGGTGCAAGGGGAAATTAAGTGTTGGGATGGATTAGTATAGTCTCTGATACCACTCAGGCTTCACGCCTGAAAAAGAGCCACTCCTTAACTGCATGGTCTGTTTGGAGACACTCCCAAGTCATTTTCTGTTCCAGAGGATACAGAGAGCTAGATGGACAGGGAAAGGGAGGAAAGCAGTCTGCTAGGCTCATGTAATGTACACACAGAACTTTGGACCCACGGGGGTCATCTGTGGCTCAGTTCTGTGCCAGAGGAAGCTGAGCTTGGGCTTCTAGTACTCTTGAGCTCAGTATGGACGGGATGCGCTACCTTTCCCTCCCCTCAAGGGGGAGAGACGTTTGCTGAGCTAGTGGGCCTACTGACGAAGGGACAGGCAAGGAAACTGATGAGGAAAATCAGGATGGGACGACTGAGTGGTGGGAAGAGAAGCAGCACTGTTTGGTGTTGGTACTTTCTAAGGTTAAGACCCTTTCCTTTCATCTAGAAAAAGCAACACAAAAGGCAACATGGTTTTCCCCTTTCAAATATTGTGGCTTACTTGTTTACTCAGCCTAACAAGCAAAACCCGTCATTATAGAGATTAACATGCGATGAATAAAATTATAGGCAAGTGGCCCTGGCCCTATGGTCTGATAACTAGTTTGGTAGGGAGGCTGGGAATGATGCCAGGTTAACTTTACTTCTGCTGCAGCCCAATAACAATCACATGATGCCTCTCGTCAGTGAGGTAGATGGTCATCTTGCTAGAGGTATCAGGGTGCTAACTCACAGCACAGTGGAACAGGAGAGCAAGCTGCCTCGGGGCTGTAACATACAGCAAGCAACCCACCTGTGTTAACAGGTTGCTCCAAGAACACCTGGCCCCACGGAGATGGCCTCCTGCCCCAAGGCCTGCGTACCACCAGCTTCCCTTGCTTCTAGATACAGCATCTGAATGGGACTGTCAGCATAACCCAATACCACAAGTTGGGCTTGCTCCTGTCATCATGGGAATATGAGGGGTGGACAGAGGGGACAGACAACCCAGAATGAGTATTAGGAGATGGGGAACTGCAAACGGAGGAGGAGATGAAAGGACAAGAAAGGATGCAAAGCAAAAAGTTTAAAGATTACATCAGGGAGATAAGAGATGGGAGGTAAGGTTAAATTAAGAGGGACGGCAGGAGAGAGGCTCCTAAGATGCTAAGACGGGGAGGAAGTGAGACTGCCTGGCGTTATTTCCCATGCAAGTCACTTAGCTCCACATCATCCTTTCGACGCTTATGGGTATAGAGGGAGGCAACCGGGTAGAGCCTGGCCTTGGCCAAGAACCGCTGTCCTGCGATGTCAATTTCATACTCTCCCCGGTTGATGAAGTCTGCTGTCACCACCTGCTCCTCCCCAGTGTCCTCGGAGAAATTGTGCACGAAGCCCAGGCAAACGTGGCGCTCCAGGGTGTAGCTGTAGGCACTGCTGGTGGTCTTGCCAACATACTGCCCGTTTCGGTAAATGGGTTCTCCCCACCAAGGCCAGAGGTCCAGGTCTGTGTCATGGTCGTCCAGGATGAACATAGTGAGGCGTTTATACACTCCGTTCTGCTTCTGCTGCAGCAGGGCATCTCGACCAATGAAATCCATCCCCTAGGAAAGAGAAGCAACACCGAGTCATCATGCTCACTTTACCTCTTGGCACATGAGCAACACAATGGAGGAGGAGGGGTCCCCTGTGCCACTGCAGTGGGTGCAATGCTCTCCTTCATCCCCAAGCACGCTTTGGGGATATTGTGTATTTCCCAGCATGTGAAAAGTTGCATTCACAGTATACAAGATGCCTTCAGAGAATTTTTGTAACAACACAGGTACCCTTGTTTCTATTTTATAAACACAGATTCCCATCACAAGATGTAGAACAAAAATATTTAGAAAGAAAAATCAATTATCAAAAACACTTGCTAGAATTTTTAGGAAAACAGCATTTTTATATAATCCCAATAAAAAGTCCATGCATATGTATCTGTATTCAATGTGTATGTACAAAATCAAGCAGGATAAAATAAACTCAATAGTGATTATCTCTCAATAGGTAAAGTATGATTTTAATTTTCTTCATTTTGGAAAATAGAGAATATATATTCATTACTCTTATATCAGAAAATTTCTCAAAAAGAATACTGTAGATCTACTGTATTGATAGGGAATGACTGCTAAAAATAATACCACTGAGTGTGTAGTATCCAACTATCTAGGTTAAAAAAAGTGGCAAGGGAGCACAGCCACTGAGCATTGACCCAAGAACCAAGAGGTCACTGGTTCAATTCCCAGTCAGGGCACATGCCCAGGTTGGGGGCTTGATCCCCAGTAAGGGATGTGCAGGAGGCAGCTGATCAATGATGTTTTTCTATCCCTCTCCCTTCCCCTCTCTAGAAATCAATAAAACATTTTTTTTTTTTTTTAAGTGGCAAGGGGAAATTATACACCTGTCTGTTTGCACCACACTAAAGCTCTAAAAAAGGAGAGGAACTGCTTCTGGTAAAGGTGGCAGTGAGATGGGAGGGGTTGAGAGAGGTGGAAAAGAGACTTCAAACATCCTCTTGAATTACAATTTTTGGGGGGGGGGGGAATTAGTTAAATAGGTGACGAATTTGTACAAATAATCATGGCATATTAATGTGTCACCACAATCACCTCAGAAAACTTACCCAGAAAGCACTCTGCTCTCTTTTAGACTAAGTGCTGGAAACAAGTGTTGCCAGTTTATTTTTTTCACATTAAGATGTTCTAACCCATAGATACTTTTCATTCTAAGGACATCCTAATCATTGTTCACCTAGTGCTATCACCAAGGTTTCACTACTCCCACATTTTCCTTCCACGTCAGCCCCTCTTCCTGCTAAGGCAGATGCCCTGCGTGGGCAGGTGAGTCACAGTGGAGTGTGCACAGACACAGTACCTTCTCTAATTTCACCCGAGACTCTCGTCCACATTCCAGGGGGGTGGTGAGGGTATTCAAATCCTGACCCCAGAAGGCAAAAAACTTCTCAATTCGGAGACTACGCAGAGCATAATACCCAGCATTCCGGATTCCATATTTCTGCCCAACACTCATCACTTCATTGTAGACATGTAGGGCATACTAGAGGAAGAAATGAGAGGTTAGCAGACCTTCAGATTTCAACATGGAGTGTATGTGAGGTGCCCGATGGCGGACACTATTAACCTGGACAGGAAACGGTTGTATAAAATTTTCAGGATGTTTCATCAACAACCAAAGTGCTACAGCCCAGGAGTAATGAGCCACTGTCCTCCTTAACTCAGACTTAATCTCCATGAAAGTAGTATCTGCATCTTTTCACGTCTCCAAAATGTCTAGGAGAGTAACATAGGTACTTACATAGCAATTATTAATTCATAGAAGCACTGTCACCACCCAGTAATGACCAAGCTCAGAACTGCTTCTGGAATAGCCCACTTACCCTCCACAGGCTTCATTCTCTGCCCCAATACTCTGTGTGCTGGCCCATGCTATGAAACGTGTGGTTCACATCATTCTAATGTGTGCGCATAACATCTGGTTTTTTACACAGAATACAGCATATGTGAGTGATAGAAAGAGCCAGGATGCATCCCACAACATTGGCCTCTCATGTTTTCTTGATTCCAGAAACATGTAAGTATCAAATAACTTAGGTAAACACAAAGTTCTCTAAATTGAAAGCAAGATATTCAATCCCTATCTAAATATACTTTAAGCCTAAAGCCCAATAGCAGACTATGCTTTGTTGTAAAAGCTGTAAAATGAAAGACAAAACAAGACAGAATTAAGTCAGAGAAAGACAAATGCTAAATAATCTCACTAGTATTTGGAATAAAAAAATAAAAACTCAGAAATGATTAGACTTGTGGTTACCAGAATTAGGGGTGGAGGGAGGGGAAATTGGAGGAAAGTGGTCAAAAGATACAAGGTTCCAGTTACAAGTGAAAAAGTAGTAGGGATGCAATGTACAATCTCATGACTATAGTTAACACTGCTGTATGATACGTAGGAAAGTTAAGGGAGTCAGTCCTAAGAGATCTCATTACGGGGGGGG